GGTGCCGTGCCCACTGCAAGCGGCGGTGGAACGGCGCCTGAGCCGCCAGGATGTGGTCATCCTGGACTCGCTGAACTACATCAAGGGCTTCCGCTACGAGCTGTACTGCCTGGCGCGGGCGGCGCGCACCCCGCTCTGCCTGGTCTATTGCGTGCGGCCCCGCGGTCCCAGCAGGGCGTCTCCGGCGGCGGGCGCCCAGGGGAATCCGGGCCGGAACGCCAGTGCGAGTTGGAGGCCGCGCACCCAGGAGCGCGGGGGAACTCCGGAGGTGGGCGCCAGGGTCCTCAGCAAACCGCAGGTAGAGGGTTCTGTAGTCAACGGGAGGGCGCGGGACCTGGAGCCGGAAGAAACCGGGACGCCAGATTCTCCAGTCGTGACTCCAGAGTCTGAGAATTCTGCAAAGCAGGTTTCCAGTGCCTTTTACCCTCCCGAACTTCTGGAGGCCCTGACGTTGCGCTTTGAGGCTCCCGACTCTCGGAACCGCTGGGACAGGCCTTTGTTCACGTTGGTGGGCCTAGAGGAGCCGTTGCCCTTGGCCGAGATCCGGGCTGCACTATTTGAGAACCGGCCTCCTCCACCCCATCAATCCACGCAGTCTCAGCCCCTTGCCTCCGGCAACTTTCTACACCAGTTGGATCAAGTCACGAGTCAGGTGTTGACTGGACTGATGGATGCCCAGAAGAGTGCTGTCCCTGGGGACTTAATTACGCTTCCTGGCACCACGGAGCACCTGCGGTTTACCCGGCCCTTGACCATGGCAGAACTGAGTCGCCTCCGTCGCCAGTTTATTTCTTACACTAAAATGCATCCCAACAATGAGAACCTGCCTCAGCTGGCCAACATGTTTCTTCAGTATCTGAGCCAGAGCCTGCACTAACCAGAAGGGATAGGAGAATGCCGAAACACTTATCTAACCCCTTCTGCACTTATTTCTCTAGGAAGAATAGTCTGAAGGTCTTGGAAGCATATTGATACAGTATTAGAGCTATTGTGGCTAACTCACTCAAACTTCCTGTCTTGCCTGTGTGCCATGCCTTGAGTTTACAGTGAGAGTGAGAGAGTTTACAGTGAGACTAGAGAGGACATAGAGCTAGCTTGGAGGATTCTGGCAAATTTTTCTAGAGGGCAGAGCCCAGTGGGACAGTGGTTGCCTACTTAGGTTGGATTCTACTTGAGGTATACACTGATTTCCCCCAGCTGAGTTGTTGGAGAGCAGACTGGATTGATGAGAATTGTTTTAAAGCAGTTTATTAACTGAAACTGAAGATGGCACACTTCTGAGTACTGCTTTTTGCTCGTCCCTATTCTGGGGCTGGGTTCATAAATCCATTGGTTTCTGTACTTAAGAAGCTTCGGTTTTGTGGAGTGAAAGACAACCTTTAGATTATTGAATCTAATAAAATCTTTTGAAAGTAGAGAGTCTTATGGGATGTCTTTTATTTAATATAATGTTTATTTTTTAAAAGGAGACTATTTTTAAGAATTATTTACTTATTTACTATTGTTATTTTTTAATTTGACCAGAGAAAGGGAAAGTGAGAAAGCAAGCCACCAGGTCTAGGACTTGAACCGCACTTGGCCATGTGGGAGTCCAGCGCCCCAATCACCATACCACCTCCTGGCCCCTATAATGTAATATTTAAATACACTTGTATTGGACTGGCACTTGGCGTGCTGGTTAAGGTGCTGTATTCCCACATAGCTGGCTGTGATTGGAGTCCTGAACTTGGCAGCTTGTTTTCTCACTCTCTTTGGTCAAATTAAAATAATATTAATAAATAGGGACCAGCAGTTGGCTATGTCACTGGACTCCCATGTAGTCAACTGCAGTTTGAGTCCTGGACCTGGTAGCTTAAATTCATGCCAGGAGCATGTACGTGTGTGCCTAAGATCCCGAGAGGAGAATGGAGAAGGGATTGTGGCCTGGCCATCCTCCCGGTGGTGGGGGGGGGTGATATCTCACTTTTTGTCTCTCTTTCTGGTGAGCGCATGCTCCCTATAGTAAAAACCTCTAAAAATAATAATAAATAAAATTAATTCTTTAAAAAATATTAATTCTTAAATACACGTGTATTATTGGTAGGCCTTTGACTGGGATAGTATTTTGATAGTGCTCAGTGAGAGACTAGATAGTTTGGTCTAATCTAGAGTAATTATGATAATCTCTGTAACTTGTGCTACATTCTGTATTTCAAGGCAAGTATCACTGTGTGTCTTTTATTCTTTAATTGATTTTGCTGTATAAAGTAGGTACCTATTTTATGAGTGTCTAATTTTCAAGGACAAACCAGATACAATCTTTGCATTTGGGAAATTGTGAGAAAACAAGTAAACAGATGATTATAGAATGAAAAGGATTAGTAGACAGAGAATGACAATGCTTTGGGAGCCCAGAAGAGAGAAAGACTAATTAGCTGCTGGGAGAAGGTGGCTTGGGGAGGGACCAGCCAGGTGACAGGGTGGTTAAAGCAACTGGATCCCACCTAGCTGCACTGTTTGAATCCCAGACCCAACTTGAAAAAGCATGCCAAGCATACCTATGTGCATTCCCAGAATCCTGAGAGAAGATTGGTGGAAAAGGGATTGTGGTGTGGTCCTCACCCTCAAGGAGTGCTTTAGAATTTGAACTGTCACTCTAGAATAATAGCAAAGAGCCAAATGGTAAATATTTTAAGTTGTGTAGGCCATAGGGTCTCTGTAGCTACTTATATACAGTAAGTAAACAAATGAGCATGAATGTGTTTTTTAAAATTATTTAACTTCATTTTTCATAATAAAACTCCAGATACTAAAATGTGAATTAATGTTTAGTTTTAACATGTCAAAAAGTACTTTTTTGTTGCCATAGGGGGTGCATGTGCTCACCAGAGAGAGAGTATGAGGAAAAGTGAGAAATTACCATACAGAAGGGAAGGCCACAGTGCAAACCCTTCACATGTGCCTGTAATGATTTTTACTCCACCAGGTCCAGAACTTGAACCATAGTTGGCCATGTGGGAATCTAGCACCTTAATTACCACACTACCTGCTGGCTTTGTCACAAACTATTCTTTTTTTTTTTTTTTTTTTTTGCTTAAAGGTACATACACATGCCTGAAAGAGAGGGAGAGGAGAAAGCGCCCTCACTTTGGGGAATGGTTATGCCATAGCAATCCCTTAGCCTCTTTCTCTCCTTTTCAGGATATTGGAGTTTGGACACATGCATATGTGTCTGGTATATTTCTTATCCCTGGGGGAATGATGACTACACCATAATCCCTTTTCCATTCGCCTCTTGTGGTTTTGGGCACACATGCTCACATGCCGAGCATGAGTTTTAAGCTACCGGGTCAGGGACTTGAACCGTGGTCAACTACATGGGAGTCCAGCGATGTAACCATTACGCCATCTGCTGGTCCCACCTTTAGGTTTTTTCCCCAATATGTATATATAAAACCAGACTATAAAGAATAATATGTCTAATTTTGTTACTTAACATTTTGTCAAAATTTTCCATAAACATTTTCAATAATTATGTAACAGTAACCTTTGAGAAATACTGTAACATTTGGAAATACTGTAATAATGAAGATCGAGTTTTGCTGCTCCAGCTTCAGCCTTGAATATGCTCAGGCTTCTGTAGAGTCTTTCCTCCAGTGTCCTCGATGGCAAAAATGTGGTTTGAACCCAGTGAGACAGTGAAATTGCCAGTGCCAGCTCATGGTAAGCAGATCCAGAAGCTGATCAAAGATGGGTTAATCACATACAAGCTTATGACCATATTCCCGGACTTGATGCCAGAACAACACCATAGCCTGCCAGAAGGGCAGGTACTTGCACAGAGTAAGCAACAGGCATAGT